TTCTTCAGCTCTGTTCCTGAAACAGCTGCTGTTTTCATTAAAGCAACATTAGGGTTATAAGGAGAGGTCAAAGTTTCTAAGGGATCCTGTTTATGAGCTTTCTGCTTCTCTCCTTTTTCTTCTGAACTTTGACTCTTTCTTATGATAAATTCTTTTACTTCTTGCAATCAGAAAGTGACATAAGCCATTTCTTTGTCTGAGAAAGGAGTCTTATTGTTTGCTGACAAATTCAGCATCCAACATAGCCAATCTTTGTCAGACTGATATTTTGGCCAAAATACTGCAGCTCTTTTGATTGGTTCTTTTGTCCATGTAACTACATTTAATTATCTTTTTCTTATCTTTCACTTTTATTTGCAGACTATCCTTCCAATTTCTTATCATTCTTGCTAAAGGACTGTCAATAGGCACTGCTAGGGGTCTCTTCCTGTCCCATTTTTCCTAGTCAACTTTACTGCACTGCTGCAGAATTTTACTTCCTTCAGGGTACCACACATTGAAGTTCCAGCTCTAGAAAATGGAGGTGTGCTGCCATGCACATTATCGTGCTGGGTGTTGCACACCTAAGGGTTTTCCAGATTTCTGAGACTCTTCCTTTCTTTCTTAATCACATAATTTGTCTCTCTGGCCACGCTCCTTGTGGAACTATAGAACCACAGGTTGGGACTCCGCACTCACTTTATACATGAGTATGCCTCAGTCGCGCTTCACACAACAGTCTCATCTGACCCCCAATGTAATACTTAATTTTTCTTACTTAGGTCTGTGCATAGGGTTGCCGGGTCAGTTTCCCAAAACTGTACTGTCTACCATGCTTTCTTTCTCTCTACGTCATTGTTCATGGATCCTGCCTTTATAACCAGTTCTAGTATTTTTTTTTAATTTGTTTTGTTTTGTTTTTTATCAGCTCCCTGCAGAATTGCCACTATTGTAGCATATAGGACCACTGAAAATATAGTGGAGTGTCACAGCAGTGAGGACTCCCCACTGGGGTGATAGTATCTGGATGAGCCCCCATTTGCAAGAAACACTTGCAAGCGAACAGGTTAGGCCCAGGAAAGGATCTCAGTAAACAGTATTTTATTTCACGATTGCAGTAGCAGGCGTCCTGCAAGCAGAAGAGCCTGCTGTAAGAAAAAACAAGCTCTTATGTCTGCTGTATCCTGACACTGAGTCCATCCCCTGGTGCAGGTTCGCATTCTTTGTGTACACATCTTCTAGGTAGTTGACAAAGTTCCATCTCTCTGTTTTTCTCCAAGTAAGCAGAATCTGCAAAATAGTTGCCAGGCCAGTATCTTCAGGCCAGTATCTCTGGCCATATGTCTTGCCAGATAAGTTCATTTCTTCTTACATAGTTCTGGATGCAGATGTACGTTTTACAGTCCTTGCTGTTGGTCATCCCCTCAATCTCCCGTTGTGATTTCCCCAGGGGAGGAGAGACATGAATTAACACACCATACAGACTCTCCTTTTATCTCTCCAGAACGTGCACACGCTATTCTTTAACCACAGACAGAAACTTATCTTGTTTATGGATTTTGAGATATACCCCTTTGGTACAACATTCTATTATGCAAAAACTACATGTCATCTCTCACACCAGGACACCACATAGTTTCTAGAACATGTTAGGTATCATTTAGGAGTGTTGAACACTGGTGCGCTTTTCTTTGTAGCTTCTTATTTCTCGTAGAGTCTTTAAAAGTAATGTGTGGACCTCAGGCTGGAGATATCAGAACTGAGTTAATGCAGATGGGAAGTAGATCAAACGCAGAAAGTGGAAAATATTTTGGATAGATTGGAAAGTGTCTGGTTGAATAGTATGGTGAATGGAATCTGTGTGGCTGATGAAGTCCTAAGAGAAAGTTTTTAAATCCAGGCAGACAGCAGAGATGTGCAAGCTTCTTCCAGTGGCAGAAGCAAAGTCATCTGACTGTCAGTGTGTTGGTCTGTCATCAGAGATGGAGATGAGGCTGTAAAACAGCTTTTGCTGATCTTGAGCATTCCCAGCTTTTTGTTATAAGGAGGAATTTCACCAGACTTTTTCATACGTATCATAGGCATGCTAGCTTTTTGGGAATTGGATATCAAGAAAGAGAGCTGAATGTTGATACACAGCTGTTTATATGGAAATTAACTGTAGCACCTGCCTGCTAGAGTGGGTGATCATGTGAATTAGAGGCGTTACTGAACTGAGTTTAAATGACAGTAATTCTTGGTAAGAACAGTTGTCTGTCTAGGCCTGAGTTATAGAATAGCTTGGGTTGGAAGGGACCCCAAGGATCAAGTTCCAATCTTCCTAACAAAGGTAGGGCCACCAACCTCCAGATCTGGTACTAGACTCAGTTGCTCAGGGCCCCATTCAACCTGGTCTTGAACACCTCCAGGGACAAAGCACCCACGGCCTCTCCAGCACCTCTCCACTTTCTGTAAAGAACTTCCTCGACACCCAATCTGAACCTTCCCTCCTTAAAACCATTCCCCCTTGTCCTGTTGCTATCTACTGAGTTAAAAATTGATTCCTCTCCTGTTTATAATCTCCTTTTAAATACTGAAAAGCTGCAGTGAGGTCTCCTCACAGCCTTCTCGTCTCAGGCTGAACAAGCCCAGCTCCCTCAGCCTGTCTGCATAGGGGAAACCAGAACCTGTAAACTTTTGCTTCATAGCAGTTCTAGAAAACCATGGTATGGGCCTAGAAATGTATGCAAGATTTTTTTAATGAGCAGGAGACTGTCTTAGGTGAGTTAGTCAGCTATTCAGGAAATATTTTTGAGGGGATGTAAGACATGCAGGAATTTAAGAGCACTTTCACAGTTTTACACGTGATTCTTAATACATGATGGTATTTTTTTTTTCTACTACATAAACAGCAAAGCACTGCATTCTCTGCAACTCTCATCTGGTGTAGATTTGAAGAGGAGGCATGAACAGTATTTCCCGTTCTTATTCATAGACTTCCATGGGTAAGGAAGGCTTGGTATATACGTGAAGGGAGGAAAGGACAAGTTCCTCACTCTGGAGGAGAAATGGATTATGGCTTAGGTTGCTAGAAAATTTATCATTTACAATGAACTTAAGCAAGACCATTTTGGGGACATTTCTGCATTTCCCTTATGTGCCATTTAAGAAATGGTCTGAACGTTACTAGAATATACATTCTGGATAGTAGTATGTCAGCATACTAAACTCTGTCTAGGTTGTGGAGGAGAAAGGGCTCATGATATATAAATTTCTGCTTGTCTGCTTTATTATTTGGAGGCATTAGCTAGCTGCAGTTACATGTAGTAGTCTGTCTCAGCAATAGATTTGGGTTTTCATTTGGAAAGAAATGCATTTGGGGAGTTACATATGTCTTTCTGTTGTCCATTCCTATGGGAAGCAGAATTGTTAAGGAAAAGCAGTCAAAATACGTAGGAACTACAAGACTGTATTCAAAGTCAGGTCTCAGTTGAACACTTGTTGACGTTGCTGGGAGGAAGTGAAGAAAAGGGAACTTTGAAAGTAGTGCACACAAAGGAACCTTTTTTGTTGCTTTCAGAACTCTTTGAGGTTCTTCTGTATGCATAACTTACTAAAAGGAGTGCTGCTAAAATGGTTCTTAGAGCTGAGGTCGTTTGAATAGGAATGCTCTTTAATCTACAGTGTTTGTTGCTGAGAAGCTCAATGTGAGCCAGTGCAGCCCAGAAATCCAGTGTCTTTGGCTGCATCAAAAGCAGCATGGCTAGCAGAGCAAAGGAGGTGATGATTTGCCTATACACTGCCCGCATGAGGCATGGAGTAGGGCCTCTTAAGGTAAGAAGGACACAGACCTATCAGAATGGATCGAGAAAAGGGCAATTAAAATGATCAGAGAGCTGTGGTTTAACATGTACAACATGTACAAATTAAGGACTGATTTTTTGTTTTAGGCGGATTGCAATACAATTATATTTTAATGTAGGATTGGAACAGGAATGGAGTTTTGTTGGGGGTCATTGGAATTTTTGGGATTAAAGTATTGTAATCAGAAAAAAAAATATTGGTAATTTACTACATCAATAGTTTTTGGGGGATAGAATTATATATAAAGAATTATATAGATAATAATGTAGATAATAATATAGAATTATACATAAAGAATTAATGAAGATAATATCTCATGTACAAAATGGCACTTGTTGGAGACAAAAACAATAATCCAGTTATTGTTGCTCTTATGTCTGTGATGTGTATTTGCTATGTGTTTTTCTTATGTATGGTGGACTAAGCTTCCTTGATACTTCGTTTAATCAGTGTCATTGAATACTTACAACTTGGGGAGAAAGGAACTGGACAAGTGAATACTGCACAGAGTGTTACATGGATGGAACAGGAAGGTGCCATGAAGCAGGGAGAGAAAACTGAGCAGAAGTTATGTACAGGTTCTATATAGTGTATAGTGTATATCAACTCTGTCTAATCAGTGTAGTGGGAGTCCAGGAGTCGAGATGACTCAGTTATACCAAGATGATGAATGGGACTGTTGCATTGACTGTGCAGCTATAAATTTAAGAAGTGTGGTTTGCTCAAGGACACGTGTATAGTTTTTTTTTTCTTTTCCTTTTCCTCACTAATACTGTGCAAAGTACTGTCTGCTGGTAATTATTGTCTGGATTATGTCTGCTGAATGGCATTGTGTATTAAGCAAAAAAAAAAAAAAAAAAAAAAAAAAGTATTTTTTCAATGTCAAGAGAAAACTTTGAATGCTAGTGTTTATATTTTCCCATTAATCTAACAGTCAGAAGGCCAACAGTAACAACACAAGTATTTGTTGCTTTCCCCACCCATTCTAACAGCAACATATGGGAGGAGTAGTGCAACTGTAATATGTAGGAATTTTTGTGCATGCCTGAGTGGAAATGTTTGTTTACAAAATGACAAATATGAAAGTGTTATCTCATGAGATAGTAGACAGAAAAAGCTGCAGTTTTACTTTGCTAACCTTTTGCACATTTTTTCCTCCACATAGAATATTTCCACAGGAATGTAGCGCTTGTGAAAGATACTGGATCAACAGTTGCAGAGACTGAACTCCTCTACCTGCAAGAAAGGTAACAGTATCTAGATTCCAGCTTTAGAACACTGCATCTTGCTTCCTGATCTGGAAAGGCATTTCCCAAAGTCAGAAGATGAGTTTGGCACCCATTACTAAGTTTTCAGTGTGTCTATAATGCAAATATTAAGGAAGCTAGATAGATGTTAGTTGCAGAGATTTTTATTATGATGACTGCTTGAATTTCTGCTACTCAATTTTGGGAAAAAGCAACTAACATTTCAGTGATTTGTTTCTCTAGGTTGTTTTTTCTTTTTTTCACCAGTAAGAGACATATTCTCCCTCTTTTGGGGACACTTGTTTCTTGATAATGTCTCTTCCATAGTGGAAGAAAGAAAGGATTAACCAGCAGCAATGTAGAATGGGATGATGTCCAGGCTTGGACTAACAGTCATAATGAGCACCATCTTGCTAACTTCAAGATCTGAATAAAAGTTACGTGTTCTAATTCATGAGAGTGTCCAGTTCTTCATGTTATCTTCTGTGATAGCCTTTCTTCAAGTGCTGCTTAACTTCAGAAGTCTGTTAATCTTGCACTTTTTATTCAGCTGAGCCAGAACCTGTTGGATATTTGCCATTACCCTTACATTCTATTCCTTCAGAGAATTCCTAAGAATTCTGAAATCCTTTCTATTAGCAATTTTCCCAGATGCCTTGGAAGCCCTGGATCAGGCCTTTGATTTTATCAGTTGTATTGCTGAGAGTACAAGTCTTTTGTGAGTTTTTAAAGGAAAACCATTCTATCCTGATAACATTGGTGACTGCTAGGGAAAAACAGATCTGCACCTCTAACATATTAGAGATTCTTTGTTAAGGTAATGTATGTTTGGATTTGAGCTGTTTGGCAGTTATGGACATGAGCATGTAAATTAAAAATACTTTTTCTGAAATGAGCTAATCTTTAAAACTATGGGCTATAGATCTTGTATGTATCCCTTTACATTTGTTGTTAGTGAAACACTGTAAAGAATTAGACGTCTATCAATACTAGTTCTATAATGTAATTACTTGAAGCATGTATTTTAAAAAAAATCAATAAGTTCTTGGCTCCTGCAGTCATTTAATCTATCTCTTCAGTAAGAGGGATTTGTCTCCTTACAGTCCATCTCGTCATGTATCTTGGTTAAGAGCTCTCTTTAATAAGAGCAGTGGTCAAGAATGTGCGAATAACATGCTAAATTTTACTACTTTTTGTCTTTCCCTTGTTCCTTTGAATTATCAGTTGGACTTGTATACTAGATATCAATACCTTGATATTCATAATTTGTATATTACTTTTTTGAGTGTTAAACAGTACAGTGGAAACTGCATGTTAATATGTCTTTGATGTTAGCACTGACTTGTGCTGTGATTGTTAGGAAGAGCTGGTACTAACAGTTCACTTTGCACTTTTGTTGAATTTCCTCTTAAGTGGAATTGTGTTTTTGTGCTGGCTACAGAAATTGAACATTTGCAAAACTCTGATATGCTTAGGGTTATGAAGTTTTGTAGTGGCGTATGTTTGTATCAGTACCATGCAGGGAGAAAGGTTGTAAATTTGTTTGCTATAAGCCTTTGAAAACTTCTGTAACTTGAGCATTCTCAGTTGTGCAAGATTTAAGCTGACAGCTGTACTTTTATGACAATCTTTTGTATTTTCCTGGTCATTTCCTTTATTTTTTGTTTTATCACCTTGATTGCTTCTCCAATGCATACTTTCCACCTCTGTACAGCTTGGTTTATTACTCTGTTTATCTCTAGGTTATCTCAAGCTCTAGGTATCAGACTAGAACTACTCATCATCAAATCATCTTCCCTTCAACTTTCTCATCCCATGCAGACATCACTTCAACATTTTTCCAGACATACTACTTTGGAGGGCTTCCTCTGTTGAGGTGGTAATGACATTGAGAGAAGGAAGAGTGTGCAATACAGTGACAAAGCTGACTCAAAAATCTCAAAGGTGGAATCCATGGGCAAATAGACTGCTGTTCTCTACTTTCTCTGCACCTCCCCTGTTTAGCTGTTGGTGTACACGTATGTACATGTTGGTGTACAGTGTGAAATGTGAAATAGCCATTTGATTCCTTCTTGTTTTGCCCAGTCCTGTACTTCCTTGCATGAGAAATGGGAGTCACTGTCACTTTGGATGACATCAGGGGTAGATAAATTTTTAAACTCAGATGTTAATCCTCCAATTGTATTTTGCCTACGTGCTTTCTGATGCTTGGTTGCTACAAGGAAACCAGAAGCTATTTTCACTTCTGTAAGGTCATACCAATAGCCTGCTGAGGATATGACTGGTCCAGTGTTAGTCATGATTAGCCACGTAGACCATAACGTTTTCCCTCATGGATGTGTAGGGTTGGTGCCTTAGCAGGATGATTTGTTTGCAGTTTCAATCTACACTGGGGTCATTCTGTAAGAATAACTTCACAAGTTTTCCTGTTTATAGGTTTGCCTCTACTCTGTGCAGCTATGTGCTTCCTTACCTGTGTGACCTCCGTTCTGATGTAACCATTCTACCAACTGATTTCACTTAGGATCTAAGACAATTTTTCTAACTCTTGTTAACTCATCCACTGTTACATTCTATTTTGTGGCTGGCTGATTATCCTTAGCATGGGCTTTTACCTACCTAATATTAAAAGGTGTTTTCCTGGCCATGCCTAGTAATAATTGCCAATTCTTTTTCCTGCATACTAGGGATCTATTTACTTCCCAGTTCAGGGCTTCCCATTGACAGAGACACTATGTGTCACAAGCCCACATAGTATAAGAATCTACATGTATGATTTTTGCTCCATTGTGTGCTGCTTGGACAGCTGCTCTTATTTTTCCTATTTGTGTGCTACCTTCACATTCCTCTATTTCTTGCTTGCCAGTGGTAATATCCAATGCAGCAGCTTTATATTGCTGTTTGCCATTTTCCCTGTTGACTGAGGCCACGTGTTTTCTGTTGGTATGCCTCAGTAAGGTGCATTTCAATTGGTGAAGGCTTAAAGATAGCTGTAATGCTAAAGATAAGTGTTTATATGCATCTATCATTTGAAAACTTTACTGTATCTTTCAGCTAATTTCTGGATGGTATGTTTTTGTGCAATTCCTTTTCAGGGAGCAGTCCCCTTCAGGATTACTTCCATTCTGATTTGTACAGGCTGTTCCTTACATATTTTCTCAACTTGCTTAACTGCTCAGACTAAAGATGATAGAAATCTTTTTTTTTCCTGCTCAGAATATTGTTGTTCTGTTTTCTTTAAATGTGGTTGAACAAAACAGTCAAGATCTTTTTCACCCCCTGGGGCCAGTTTGGAACAGTAAGTAGCATGTTCAACAAAACTCCATTCAGCTATAGCAGTGTTGAAGGGTTGTATTGACCTAGTGACTGATATATTTTTAACTCTTTAGTTAGAGTTTTAACTGCCTCTCTATGTTCTAATTTCCACTCCCATGGCTTGCCTTTCTGTAGGGGTGAGTACAATGGATAGGAAATGATAGAAAATCCAGGTACGTTTCCTCTAATACCCTAAAGTTCCCATTAACTGTTGTAATTCCTTCCTTGATTGAGCTCTACAATTTTTCATAGAGTATCTGGAGGAATCACTGCATTATTATCAATCAAGTATCTTAAATTTTTACTTCTTTACTTGGTTCCTTACATTTTCCAGGTGGAATCTCAACTCCTGCTTTATCTAGTGTTTGCCATACTACTGCTGCCACTTTGAAGTCCCTTCTATTATAATATCATCTATATATCATTCTGAGGAAGTGAGATTGTCTATAGAAGTTCAGTGAGTCCAGCATGAGCAATTGTGGGAGAATGCTTGTACTCCCATGTGAGTCTGTAAAAGATATATTGTATTCCCTCCCAAGTGAAAACAAACTTTTATTAATCTTCTTCCTGCAAAGGAGCTGTAAAAAACATATTCTTTACATCAAAAGCTGTCATCCATGGTTGTGGTTGCAAAGTAGCTGTTAAGTTTGTGGTGTTTGAGATAGCAGCAGCTAGGAGGGCTGTATTAGCATTTAGGTGCCAATAATTGATTGTTAATCGCCCCCTCCCATCTGCTTTCTGGACTGGCCAGACAGACGAGTTATATGGGGAGGGAGTTCTGGAGGGAATTTGTCTTTTCTTCCAATCTGCTTTAACTTCAGAAACTGCATTTCATACTGCAGTAGAAATAAAGTATTGCAATCCATTAGTGATCTTAGATTCAGGGAGTGCAGGGGCTGTGTGAACTGTACACACTGCAGCACCCCTATCCCTTTGGTGTTCAAGATTGTTATTTGAACCAAAAGATGTACGCTGCCTTTTGGCTGGCATTAGATTCACCCATCGAGGACATCAAATCCTAAAATATTTTCATGATGGTTTTTAATTGCAAAGTGAGTAGGTGATGCACATTTCTCACCTGGGAGTTATAAGTTGACCCTAGTGGATTGACAACAGCACTCGTGCCATTCACGCCAGTAATCTTAACCCTTTGTTATCCAGATTACACTTCTTGGCATGTTGCTATGTTAGTATTGAAATTTGGACTCCCGTGTCTATTAGAAATGTCACCAATTGTCTTTGAGGACTGATTGGTCTCAATATGTATGAGCCATCATAGTTTATTCATTGATATGTCTCCACTTGTCAGACAAGCAGACCCAATTGCTAGCCGCCCATTACTTGTCTTTTTTTTCCTCATGCCCTTTGATTCTTCTTAGGGAATGAGGAGATTATCTCACTTTCTCTGAACCGGTGTTGAAGAAGCTGACATACATTCCTTTCTTTCACTACCACTCAATCTGTATCACTATGCCCGTGTCATTTCTGAAATGCTTCAGTCAGACCCAATATAATGCTAGTAGGCTCACTATGCGTTGCATCTCTGGTAATGCCCAGAGCTAATGCCCTTTTCCATAAGTCGGTTCTCTATCCTCAAGATCTTGTTAGCACATTTTCAAATTTATTTCCTTTTGGTTTACCCACTGTTCCTTGTTCCACAGATCCCACCTTATGATCTCCACCCCAGAACTTTAAACTTTGTCTGCCAGTTCATCCTCCCAGCCCATGACTGTAGTTAACTGTGCCATGCATTAATTCTTCCCATGTAGGGAGTTGATTAAAGGTATTGTATGCATTGTTATCTTGTACTGAATTATGTTCTGTGTCTCTTGATCACATTCTGTTTTGCAGCTAGATGGGATTTAAGGATAGCTGAGGCTCCTCTAATTAGTGATTTAAGCACTATTAAATCTAATGAACAGATAATGGCACGTCATGGGCCCCTCCTTCTTGTAATACTTTTTTGCAAGTTACTTTTGTGAAGACTGTGAGGAGCTCACTTAAGAGATTTAATGGGAATTACCAGGAGTTCACTTCACTCCATGGGGCCTATTCCCCCAGCCCTATAAGCTACATGGCTGGTGATAGGGTGAAGTGTATCTGCAGGCCCAGGTCTTAAATTTAAGAAAACTCATGGTGCGTAGTAGTTATTTGCTTCATTCAGACTCTTCGTAATATGGTCTCCATCACTTAAGCATACTTGCCACAAGTATTCTGTTTTTCTCTGCTATATCTCCATTGGAACTTTGTCAATTGTAATGGATCCTAGGGGCAGTTCTCATAGTATATTGTGGCTGACCACCTTGGGGTGATGTAGATTGGTTTGCTTAGCAACAGGGATTAGAACATTAGTTTAAGAACCAATATATTAGTTTAACAGAAGGAATTAGTAAATTGATAGTTCTGAAACTTTCCATTTCAGCTTTAGTGGGTGAACAGTCTTGTTTTTCCTAAATAATTTTGCACTGCGGACATAATAGAATATACGTTTATCTTCTGCCTCAATGATTTTGCCTCATGAGAAGTGCTGGAATCACAACAGAATACTTTTATTTTTTGCCTCAAAACGTGCAAGGGCATTTTGATTTTGTTCTACATAGATTGTTTAAAAAAGTGGCTCACTATGGCCTAATAAGCAATGGAAATTATTCAAACTGGGGATAAGTGCATGGAAATGAATCAAAGGTTTCAGTGATGAAGCTGGTGGTGGAAAAAAGTGGAAGTAGGTGGGCACTCGACTACTGTAAATACCACTGAGCATACCCAAAGGGACATGTGCACACATCTATGAGACCTTGAAAAAGAATGCATATGTGTTGCAGTGTACTGCTTGTGTATGTCTTAACTGTATAAATAGAACCTGAACTCTGAAAGGGTATGCTTGCTTGTCAAGTTGCCCAATGTGCATCATGAGGAATAAAAGGAATGTTGCTTTCTAACACCACATAGGAGTTAGAGAGTTTTCTTCCTGGATTTCGGATGACAATTTTAGCAACCCAGATGGGACAGTGAGACTGAAATCTCATGGACCAAAGGGGCCTCTGTTCAGCGCACATCCTGAGTGATTCTCTGGGAGATCCCGCAAATCCCAGCTCTGTCAGGACCAGCCACAAGTTCCCTGGAATAGGGTAAGGCATTCCTTTTTATTGCCTCGGGTAAAGCATGACAGGAGTCTGTATCACGTATGGAGAGCAAGGGTAAGGGGATCCCCAGGTAGGTACCCCACACACAAGCGGGGAGATCTCCCAAGTGTGTGACAGGTTCCGCGTTTCCTGGAAGTAACACAGTGAGGGGGAGCTTGAGACCAGCCCTCCAAGAGAAAGAGTCCAAGTCCCTGTTAAAGGGGGTACTTGAGAGATTCAAGACCCTCTGGGTTCTATGTTTCCTGGAAGTAACATGAAGAGGGGGTGCTTGAGACCAGCCCCCCAGTAGAAATGGGGTTTGAGTCCCTGTTAAAAGGGGTGCTTGAGAGATTCAAGACCCTTCGTGTTCTACATTTTCCTAAAAGTGGTTTATTGATAATTGCGTTGCATTACGGTTGCTGACATTGTGATTTTGTATGTGAACATGGGTATGTGAGTATTACTGTAGCAATGCCAAGCTTTTTATTTCTTTTCTCCATGGTGTGTGTATGTGGTGGATCTGCAGACTGTGTTAAGCTTTGCTTTTTACTTTCATAGCCGCAGCAATGTGTGTGTGTGTGTGTGTGTGTGTGTGTGTGTGTGTGTGTGTGTTAGAGTGTGTGAAGGCAATTTGCACATTCCGGACATTCCAGACATGGTGTAGTCGGTTGTGGAAATTGCAGAGGAAACTTGTTGAAAATTGTAATAATTGTTGGATTGGAGAAATGATTAAAATTACTCATGTAAATCTGGGGTCTGTGGAAAAATGACAAGTTCCCATCTTGCTGAAGGATATTGATCATGGCTCTCCCAGGAGGAATTCAGTGTACAACTATGCCTTGAGGGACTGGCAGACACAGTCACCTAGTAATTTGAGAAAGGACAATTGTCCAGAATAAAGTGTATTTATATTCAAGTGTATTTAGATTGTTGTGATTGGTTGCAGTTTGTGCTGGGCCAAAATAGATGAGTACTGGAACAAGAAACAACCTGCCAACCCCACCACGAGACTCGCATAGCGCTCTGAGAAAGAGCCAGGGGAGAAACACTTGCAAACTCTTGTTGTAAAATAGTATGTTACCTCAAGGATGGGGAGGAATACACTGGAAGTTGGAATGTCCTTATCTGCAGAAATCTAGGAAACCTCAGTGTTAGCACTGAAAATCTCCATGGCTGGAGATGAGACTGAAATAGAATATTTGGTAATCACAATTGGTTTCTGTATTCACAGAATATATGTTTTATACAGATATGTATTTTAAGGGTACCAAAGCCCTTAATTGGTCAAGACTGGTTGGAGGAATTAGAGGGGAAAATAAAATTTTAAAATTGGGTCTTTTATAAACAGGAGAGTTGCCTGGAAGATCAGAGGCAGTTTGTAATGAAAGTTTTGAGAGATTAAAAGAAAAGGAGGGGGGAGGGGGGGGAAAGAAAAAGAGAGACGGGAGAGGCATAGGCCATGGAAGGCGCAGGAGGGAACAGAGAGGAAATTGAGAAAGGAAAGAAAGGAGAAGGATAGAGACAGAAGATTATTGGCATTGATCGTAGTGCAGGGAACTGAAAGGGGGATGAAGAGGGGAAAAAAGGTGTAAGAGCAGTGCTAGAACCAAGAAGAGAGAATACAAGGCCAGAGATCAGAGTACTGATAGATGTAGAAAATGTTAGAGGTTTGGATTGTTAAAGCGATTGGATTGCCACAAAAAACAGCAGCAAAGATCCAGATCAAAACCGCTCACTCAAAAGCCACAGATATAATGGCAGTAAATACCGAATGAGGGGGACCAGGGGTGAGACCTCAGCCAAACCCCTAGTTACAATAAGGCTAGAGAATGAAGATGTAAAATTTCTTGTAGATGCTGTTGCAAAGTATTCAGTTATCAATACTTGTAAGGCACAGTTAAGCAATCAGACAACATCAATAATTGGAGCCACTGGGAAAGCTGGAGTGCAACCATTCTTCCATCAGTCAAAATTGGAAAATGTATACATATCAATTTCTATACATCCCTGATTGCCTGGTGCCATTAATGGGGAGAAATATCATAAACTTCAAGCCCAAACCATGTTTGGTAAAGGACAATTCATAATGCATACTTCAGAAAATAAAACTGTGGAGACTCAAGTTCTTATATTACAGAGATCATTCCCTACTGACCAGACAGTACCAAAGGACTTGGAAAATGCTGTAATACCATGGATCGAATCATCAGAGACACCCAGACAACCGAGATGAGCTGAACCAGCAACGGTAACTATCTAGCTGATGCCAGGAGCAGCACCGGTAAGATGAAATGTTTTCTTGCGAACTAAAGACCCTAGAGCCTTTGACAGAGTATTTTAACTTGCTAAACAGCTGCATGAAGACTTAAAAGGAGAAATGGAAAACCTAATGTGGACACTGGAATGTGGAAGTCCTTCAGAGTCCTTAAGTTAAAAAGCCCTTGTTTAGAAACTGTAGCAGCTACAATCTTGCTTGTACAGGAGGCCAGAAAATTGACCCTGGGAAACAGAATAACTTTGTATATTCCCTGTATGGTTACTGCAGTACTGAATCAATCTAAAGAAAATTTGTTGGCCATCTCTGAGCAGGATCATGAAGTACAAAGTGTTCCTGGTAGAATGAGAGGAAATGAGATTAAAGATATGAAAATGTTTGTTGATGATAGCAGTTTTGTGTGAGATGGCTTAGGAAGGCCAGGTATGCTGAAACAACCAGAGATAAAATAATAGGCTGGTTCTCTGGCACTACCACCTCAGCAGAGAAAGCAGAACTCGCAGCCTTGTTAAGAGCACTGGAGTTAGCAAAAGGGAATAAGTGCCAATATTTGGACAGACTTAAAATTTGCATTTGGGATTGTGCATATGGATGGTGCTATCTGGAAAGAACAGAGGCTATTAATCTCCCAAGGAATACCTGTAAAATATGGAGAAACAATAATAAAACTGTTAGACCAAAGGAAATAGCTATAAAACACTGCGAAGCCCACCAGTCAAACATCAGTTATATCAATATGGGCAACAGTAGTTCAGATACAGCTGCCAAAAATGCAGCAGAAGGAGCTTTCTTCCAACTCATAACCCTGAGATATCAAAGACTGATGAATGAACATCCGAAATACCAGACAGAAGTTGAAAAACTAGCTTTCTTGCTAAAAACTGAGAAAACAAAGCAGGATGGTGGGCAACTCCAAACAACCAAGTAATAGTTCCCCAACCAGTAAGGAGGAAAATAGTAGAGGATAATCAAACTATATGCTGGGCGTCAGATGCTATCATCAATAGTCTAAGACTCAAATTTTAAGTGTGTGAATGGGAGAAATTGTGAAAAGCATGGTGAGCAAAGTGTGAAGTATGCCTGAAATATAATCCACACAATACAAAAAGACCACCTCCTGGAGTTACAAGGAGAGGATGCAGCCCAGGAAACTATTGGCAGATAGACTATTCTGAGCTAACATGAAAAGCTGGCTACAGATACTTACTGGTATTGGTTGATACTTTTTCAGGACGACCAGAGGCTGATTGCTGTCACACCAATGAAGCAAGAGAAGTAGTAAAGGTTATGCTAAAAGATGTTATCTCTAATTTGGGGTACTAAAATGGATATCATCAGATAGAGGTTCATATTTTGTAGCTGAAATTGTTCAAAACCTAGGAAAAATCATTGGAATAGAATGAGGTTTGCATACTCTTTAAAGGCTGCAGTCTAGTGAAAAGATGGAAAAAATGAATAATAATATAAAAAAAAATTAGTAAAATCTGTTAAGAAACAGACTTGAAAAGGCCTGAGGCTCAACCTCTCACCTTACTATATGTTCTGATAAAACAGCATGCTGAAGAGAAAATTAGTCCTTACGAAATTATGTATGGAAGACCATTTCAGGTATTGGTGGCTAGTATTAATGTAAACCAATTAGGTGAACTAAAGCTAAGAGAATGTCATCTCTTTGGGAAAAGTCCTATCTTCTATCCACAGGTTTGTGGCTCCAGTGGCACCAGCACCTCTGGGAGTCATAGCACATCCATTCCAACTCGGTGAGTGGGTGTATCTATGGACTTGGAGCTCCGAACCACTACAGGAGAAGTGGAAAGGACCATATCAAATACTACTGGCAATGCACACTGCTGTCAAAGTGGCAGGAGTAGACTCTTGAATTCATTACAGAAAAACAGAAAGTGCACAACCCACAGTGGCAAGTAGAACAGACTGCACTGATGAAACTGAAATTTTCATGTATATGAATACAACTTGAAAAACGGGGAAATGAAAAATCATTTTATGAACTTGAATATAGTTATTGAGATACAGTTACTTTTAGAGTAACTAAATTGTTTGTCTTATATTGACTGCATTAATTGTTTGCTTATATTAATTGTTTGGGGAAAAAAACACCTCTTTTGCAATTCTTAAGGGATATATATTTTGTTTGTCTAAAACAATAATAATTTTTGCAATATGTACTTATTGCTTATCAATTGCATGCATGGGATCAAAATAAGCACATGAAATTGATGAAAAAGGGGGCTGACGCTAACAGTTCTGGTTCTTGTTGGATATGCTCAGAATTGCCAAAATATGAGACAAATCCATACCCATTGTGAGGATTACCACTACCAAAACTACCAAAACAGAGTTGGGACACAGTATTTGTTAACATCCATAGCGTACTTTGCAGATAGATATGAAGAATTACAAACATGGATTGTAGGAATTCAGCCTATGAATGATACCATTTGTCTGACAGATGCAGACTAGTCAAGTAGGGAAGGCTCCAGTAGGAAAATACCCACACTATAAATGCACTATAAATGATAAATAAGTATTTTGGGAAAAAAAAAAAAAAAAAAAAAAAACAACAACCAAAAACAGGAATAAATATTGGATCTCAGCTAAAAGGAAAGATACTGGCTATGTGGAGATCGAGCTTGGAGGGTATTAACTTCATGGTAAATCATGACTTGTACTCTAGGAATGGTAATACCATAGATGATAGTAGCAAATCAGTTATCTGGGGTAATACAGGCCTGAGTACTCTCCAAAGTCAAGAGAGAAGTCTTTAATCCGTTAATAGAAAAACCTAATAGTTTTCATTCATTCGTTAAGTGCTTTATTCCCTCTTTAGAAGTTGCAGAAAGGGCCATCAGCACATATCTATGAGAAAAATCTTTTCTTGAAAAAGAATGAATGTGTATGCCAATGTACTGCATTGTACTTCCAGGCCCCCCTACTTCTTCCTCAAGGGGATCTCTGGGTCTCGGGCCCTTTTCCAGCGCTGCAACAGTAACAGCTGCTATTGTTTTTTCCAATTTCCTTGCTCCTCAATCAATTTTCCAGATCCCTCATCTCTCTTCTGGGTCCTGACATCCCTGTTACACTTTGCTCATCTCTGCGTTCCTCAGCCTGTTTCTTTCCGAAACCTTTTTCACTTTCCAAACTTTCATAATTACAAAAACATATCATTAACAGTTACACTTTCATATACCATCAAAACAGTTTTTCCCCTTCCTTCAAAATCATGAGTCAAGCAATTCAATTCTTCAACTTAGTCTCACAATTAGGATACTCAGTTATAAGAACTGGTTCTGTTACTTAATTTATGTTCTCAGTTTCTTTCTCAGGGTCTTCCCTGGCTCACCAGCGATGTCCTTCTAGTGAGCTAAAATACAACTCAGAGGGGTGTTTTTTGGAATTTTCTTAGATGCTCTCTATCCAGTGATAACCTTTTATATTTGTCCAGTTCTAATTGCAGATGAAAGTCCTTCATGCGTGGCTGGGTAATGGAGTCTACCTGCTTCCCCAGGGTACAGTATCAGATCGAATTCATTATCCAAGAGCCATAACCAACATCCCCCAGCAAGACAGGAATTTTTAAACGAGGAATGTATTTCCACAACTATCACTTTCACAGCACAAGCATTTAACAATCTGCAGGACAATAACAAAAATCAATATAGTTGCCACAACCAAGAAAACCAGTTCAGACATTTACTCTTTCCACGTGTTTCCACCTGTCACATATGTGCAGTGACACATTTTATTCCAGACTGTAAATGTCCTACCCAATACAGCTGCTGTGCCAGGGCCTTACCCAGTTAACTTTCAGAGAGATTGATGATCTGTGTCCCATGCCAAAAAATTATGGTTTTGGTGCCTTCAGGACTGATACATGGTTTTATGGCTGTGCACTATGTGGTGCCCACCAGGCTTATGTGTACATCTCTAAGGCTTTATTCAGAAAAAATAATCCAGACTTAAGGAATATCTTTGTCCAGAGGGTCTTGTCAGTTCCCATAGTGATCCACCTGAGAGTTGGAGTTCTTTCTGGACAAGCTGCCAGCAGGCCCAAGGAGTCCGCCTCTCAGAGGGTCCCACAGCTAAGCTGAGTCTCTTGCCTGGCTTATCAATTAAAGCTGAGAAATCCAACATTAACTTGACACAACAGTGAGTTATGTTAAGCATGTATTTCTTCGTTACAGTGCTGGGTGCATGGGGGATCACTCCACCCAACCTGCACAGTGAGGAAATTGGCGACAACACATTTGTGGGTATAGCGTGTATGTATTCATTACATTTCTGAGAAATTGGTTACATACGCATTGGATTTCTGAGTACTTGTTAACATGTTGTCCTACTCTTCTGAGCATGTGTCATAAAATGTGGGGAAGATCTACGAGCCCCATCTGGTGGTTGTTGGATGAAGACTAGTAATCATCCTCGCTGTGAACTTCTTACCTTCGGGGGGTGTTGCAGCCCAGACTGGTTTCTGCTGGTACTGTGCTGAGGCATCTGTTCTGCTTTCTTATCTTTACTTGACCGCAGGTTCTCTTGGCCTCTGCATTCTGTCCTTAAGCCTATATTTATAAGTGTTCTGTCCTTCAGCTAATGTCTGCACAAGTTACGTGATAAAGTTGTTCATTGTTCCTGATTCACCTAACGCTGCACTTCTTTTTTACATTGGAAGAGTGTTCAGGATGGAGATGGCACTGAACTGATGCATGAGAAGTATTCTTAGAGCTTGCCTATTGTGTTTGTTCATGCTGTTTCTTTTTTTGCAGAAATGGTTTTATCACAAGCATCTAGTGCTGTAGTGACTTATGTTTGAATGACGTATTTAAAGGTGAAAGATGTGTGCAGAAGTCACTTCTAACTATGCTTGCTTGCTTTGGATCATATTTTGCTAAGTGCATTCTAGATCCATTAACTACACGTAAAGTGGAAGCACTTGACAATTAAAAAATATATATATAGACAAAGATATCTTAGTCATATATTAACAAATGCAATACAAATCAGAGATCCTTTTTTTTTTTTTTTTTTTTTTTTTTAAATTTCTGTTGATATACATAGAATAACAGGATAGAAGATGACATATCTTACCACATTTTAATAGAGCTAGTTCATCTGTAAGTAAATAAGTCAGTTTTGATGGGTGAAAACATATCCAAAAGGTTTGAGTTAGTTTTCTTGAGTTTCTGTTTCCCTCTGCTGGACTGTAGTTAGAACTGCCAACCTTTTTTTTTTTTTTTTTTTTTTTTTTTTTTTTTTTTTCTTCTCACAATCAATCTTCTAAGGTTACTGCTTCCTACTGCTTGCTTCCTTGTACTTCCAGGTGAAACACTTGAACAGTCTTCTTTGGTGGCCACATCAATAGGGCTGATCAACTTATTTTGTAATAATATCTTTAAATAAATACCGCAAATAAATACAAGTTTGAAACAGTAAGGAAAAGACACAAAGACACTTAGAAATATTTTAAGATGAAACTAAAATATTTCCTTGAAATATTAAATATTAAAATGAATGATTCCAATATAATTATCAACTGAAATAAAATTGATGTAATTGATTTTATTCTCCATGGTGTCAAGTATTAGCTGGAGTTTTTCTTTTAGGTGGAAGTTACAACTACAACGACAGCTAGGAAAATATGAACTGGACATGGGAAGAAACTGTGAAAGTAATGTAGCACAGGAGCAGGTATCTGAAGGGAGTGTGGAATCTCCAGACCCAGACAATGTTGAGATTTAGCTGGTCTGGAGTAACCTGCACTAGATATCAAGTTGGCTCTGCTTTAAAGCAGTACAATGGACTAGAATGACTTGCCTGTTTTACTGTGTGTGATATGCAGGCTAACTGATCTGGAGTGTAGGCAGGCTGAAGAGATGAAGTAACAAAACTTTCAAAGTCTCCTGCTTTTATTCAACCAGAGTAAGATAGTAATACTTTGCTATAGCTCCAAATAATAATACTTTTTGAAAATTCATATTACTGTCTGGCATGATGAGCTAGTGTGGTTTATAAAACATGTCTGAACATTTATTATACTCATATGCATGCTAAGATTAAAAAAATAATCATGAAATTACAAGTGTTGCTATTTTATAAGTCTCTCTTACGAATTTTAATTTGTAGCATTGCTATAGATTAAAAATAAAAAGGAAGCCAAGGTCCTGGGTTGCATAGATTTAGTAACAGTACTTATTTCCTGAAACTTGGGTGAAGTTATTGCACACGTATGTTTACATAATTGGAAACTAACATGATCCTTCGCATCTTCCTTAGAGGCAGCAATGGCTAGTAACTGTGTTGTCCTCATATAAGATTCTAAGATTATATAGTCTGAGTAGGCAACATAAAATCTTTAAAATTTGTTCACAAGAACTTTAAAGTGTGCTTTTTCTATCTTAGCTAGATTTTTATGTTTACAGTGAAACTTAGATCGGTTTTGCAGGTGTAAGTTTAAACTTGTAGCTGAAAAAGAGTTGGAACAAAGCTATTTCAGAGCTATTTGAAATACCACCGAAATTTTAAGTACAGTTCAGTTTTAAGCCCTTACAGCTTCCCTGCTGGATGTTCCTAATCTGTGTATGTGACTTAGATGAAATTGCGGTCTAGGTATAGTGAATGGATCTGCAAAAGTCATACTTCATGCCTGAGATGCTCAAGAGGATGAAGTCATGGGAATGAATGCCAGATACTTGTCATCTGAAGTTTTGTTATGCTATGTTGAGCATCTTGCTATTTATCTTAATAGGACAAGAGTGTAAGATTTGCTAACTAAGACCCATGATTAAGACCTCATGTGGCCCAGCAACACTTCTTATTCCAAAATTGCTGAATGGTGGAGGAAAAGGAAGTGGTGTTACTCCCTTTCAAGATGGGACACTTGCTGTGAACCTTCATCTCTGTTTACACCTTCGGGGGGGGGTGAGGGAGGGGGGAAGATCTGAGAAAGTGTCTTTGTTGGATCTACAATTGCATGGAGAGAAGAAATGTAAAAGAAGAAACAAGTAGGAGTTCCTAGGATGAGGACACTTCCTTATTGCAAATAATAAAGCTCTGAATTTATCTAAATTTCTCTTAGAATGCCCTCCTTAACAGGTTACAGAGTCATGCTTTTTCTTCGCCATAACAAATTTTGCATTCTTTTTTTCCCACTTACTAGTTATCTTCATGGAGATTATCTTTTTGGGCTGGTAGCTCATGGGAGATTCCTTTTGCCTTTTCCTTTAGAGGATATTCTTCAAGCCATTTATTGCTAGTTAATAGCAAAAACAACCTTAGAAAGTATTTTGGCTTCAGAAAAAGGATGTGGTATCAGAAACGCAACAGACTCTTGGAATGAACCAGGACCTTGGATAGACTTGGATCTTTGTGGCTTTGATGGTTTCTTACACTCCAGGAGTGCTGTAGAGATTGTCCCTTCAAGAGCTTGGGGTTTTGTATCTCTGAATTATGAAGAACCTTCCTTTCTAACATCCACAAGCTTTCAAATAATAGGACTTGCAAACTGATAGAAGTTAAGAAGAAATGAAAACAGTCCTTTAGGATATCCAGCAGCTTTCATATTTGTGACAGTTCACTTGATCATACATTAGGCAGTTTCAGATATCAGTACAGTCAGATTATTAAAAGTACCAGTCTTCTAGTAGGAATCTGCAGTTCTTTCTTATCCTTTCTGCAGTGAAATATACAGTAACGTTTTTATCTGTAAAGTACATTTAAGCCTACTAATCTTATGGTCATCACTGCCTCAATTAGTGTCATTTTCTAAATCATGGAGTTATAATCAAAATCCATTTCCAACCTTTACAAAGCTGTTTGTGAACTGAAAACCATGGTGGCTGCTGTATAAATCTTTTACTCCAGTTGAAAAGCAAATATTTTGTGAAAGAGCTTAGACTATGTAAGAGCTTCAGACAAAGCAAGGGGAATGCAACAATCTGTGTTACGAAGTTAATCTGTTTTGAGAACTGAACATTCTAAATCAAGTAAATTCTCTGGCTGTGCATCTCTTCAGGGAGTGCTAGCGGTTGGCAGACTGAGGAAAAGGTCATTTGTTTCCCACAATGGTGTCTGCAGATATATGTTGATCATCAGTTTAATGTTATTAAGAATCATTAAAAGGGTTTATTCTACTAAATTCAGCCACAGGACAGCCTGAAATAAATTTGAAATGGTTTTTAAGTGAATCCTTACTACCACAAATACACCATAGAAAATCTGTGTCTGAAGTGAACCTCCTTGCAACCAAAGACAAGACCAGAGAGCATACACTCTTGTTTAATTTCATGCAGTTGGTGATGGCCCAGTTCTCTAATTTGTCTAGACCTGTCTGCAAGGTTTCTCCACCATCAAGGGAGTCAGCAGCTTCTCCAAATTTATTATAATCAGCAAATGTTCTAACAGCTTCTAGTTGTACATCCAAGTCATTTATGAAAACATTAAGGAGAACTGGCCCTAAAACGGAGCCCAAAGAAGCCCTTCTTGTGACTGGCTGCCAGCCTGACATAACTCCATTTACTATAGCCCTTTCAATCCAATCCATCAGTCCGTTGCTCACCCATCACATTATGTTTTTTATCTAGCTTTATGCTGGACATTTTGTCCAGAAGGATATTGTGAGAAATAGTATCAAATGGTATACTGAAATCTAAAAAGATAACATCAGTTGGCTTCCCCTGGTCAACTGGATGGGCAACTCTGTCATAAAACAAAATTAACTTAATTAGACAGGGCTTTCTCCTCATGAAACTGTGTTGGCTGTGACCAATGACCATATAGTTCTTCAGGTGTTTTTCAGTAACTCCCACCATAATTTTCTCCATAATTTTACTGGGCACTGAAATGAAACTGACAGGCCTATAATTAACAGGGTCTTCTTGCCCTTCTTGAAAATTGGAATTTTTGCCAGCTTTCGGTCAAATGGGATCTCTCCAGATTCCCAAGACCACCGAAAAATAATTGAGAGGCTCACAGTGTCATTGGAAGACTCTTTAATTAACCTGGGATGAGTCCCATTGGTCACATAGACTTATATGCATCAAGGTAAAGCAAGGTAAATCCTGCACAAGTTTGAGGTTGGCTGGAAGCTGATTGTTCCTGCAGTCACAGTCCTCCAACATGGGACACCTGGGGTGTCAGACGCCATCATTAGTGCTGAAGATGGAGACCAAGAAGGCATTAAATGTATCTGCTTTGTCTATGTCCCTGTTTGTAAAGTGATGATTCTCATCAACTAATGAACAGCTCTAACTGAGCTTTGGCCACACAATTTTTCACTGTGCAAGGGCAAACAGCATTTCTGTAGTCTTCCCATGTTGCCTGACCTTGTTTCCAGAGACCATACGCTTTCTTTCTCTGCCTGAGCTCTAGAAGAAAATCTTTGTTCATCCAAGCCATCTTTCTGCTCTGCCTGCTTGGCTTCTGATGTTTCAGAATTGCCTGTTTCTGTCCTCTCTGGAAGTGATACTTAGAAAATAACCAGTACTGTTAGACTCCAATGCCTTCAAAAATAGTTTCCCAGGGGACCTTGCTAACTAGTTTCATGAATAGCCTAAAACCTTCTCTCCCTGTATCCAGGGTTCAGGTTTTGGTGGCACTTTTCTTCCTGTCATCAAAGATTTTTAATTCAACCATATCATGATCACTATGGCCAAGACAGACACCAATCACCACCACAGCCACAAGATTTTCTCTGTTTACAAGCAACAAGTCTAGGAGAGCACCATTCCTCCTTGTCTCCCTTAGACCAGGAAGTTGTCATCAACATCAAGAGTCTCCTGGGCCTGTTTCTATCAGCTGTGTGACATTCCTACTTAATGTCTGGCAAATTAAAGACAAGGGCAGTTGATCTAGAGGTCTCTCTTAGTTCATTTAAGAGTAATTCATTGGTATCATCATCCTGGATGAGTGGTCTACTCCCACAATGACATCTGCCTTATTTACTTGTCTTTTGTCTTTACCCAGAGGCTCTCAACTATGTCATAACCAACTGACAGCTCCGTGCCATCCAACCCTCCATTACATACAGTGCCATGCCCCACCTCTCCTGCTCTGCCTGTCTCTTCCAAAAAGCCTGTAACCATCCATCACAGCATGGAATCCTGTGAAAAAGTATACAAAACAATGCTCAGCTAATAGCATTACTTTCCACTTAACTTTGGTAGTTCTTTTTTTAAATATTCTGTTCACACAGTCACTAGAAGTCAGTATTACTACCCCAATTAATGGCATATTGCAGAATTTGGAATTGCTGCTCCATCAAGGTGAATACTCCTCAGCTCATGGTATGGAGTGTATCTCAACAACATCTTCTGAAACTGCTTGTTTTTCAGGTCTCTTGAGAAAGCTACTTGCAAATTTTTTTTGTTGCCAAAACTTAAGGGCTGTTAAGTGGAAATAGTTGTCAGAACCAAAAAGCATGTGTCTTAATCTTCACTTTAGTAACTCTGGAGTGTTTGGCAATGTCAGAACAGCTGAATGTATTTTGAAATAGAACAGAGGGTCTAACTATTGTCTTCAAATCAATGAAATATTGTCCCACATTTATTAAAAAAGTAAAAAAAATAAAATAAAATTGGTGCCTGATTTTCATTATGAAGAAGACTTAAAAACACCTTTGATTTTTAGTGATTTTTTTTTTTTTCCTCCTGCTTAGTCATGCTCAAATAAAGCAAAACTGTTTCATTGGTGTAGTGATATTCTAAGCCCACATAACTCACCAGAATAACATCCCTAAGCAGGTTTCTTTATATACCTTATTCTAACAGCATAGAAAAAGTGGATTGAAAACTAAAATGGACTGTACATCCAATTGAAATGATTTGTGCTATAAGTAAGCAGGATCTTCCACAATATAGCCCCCAAAGCAGTGCAAAGAGCTGCTGCAAACCCTTACAAAATGGTTTAGGGAGTGTAAACTGGGGTGTTTGCTCACTACTGCACGTTGCATCCACGCTTACAGACACTTAAGAAAAAAGGGAGCTACCTGTTGATCTCAGCATTTTTCAACAAAAGGTCCCGTAACACATTCTCCTCAGCCACAGTCTATTAT